GGCCTTCCCTATGGACTGATACACTACTAACAACAGTTGCTAAGAAGAATGGCTCACCCAACAGTAATTCGTTGCTGGGAAGAGGGGAGGGCCTCACAAGTCCTGCCCCTCTGAGGATTAATAAGCAGTCAATGATTGTTAGAGGGAGAGACTCATGAGCCCCCAGTCACCCTTGAGGATTTATAGGCAGTTAGTGGTTCCTGGTGGGGGTGGCTTGCGTGGCCCCACCCCTTTGAGGACTGATAAGCAGTCAGTGATTGTTAGGGGGAGGGGCTCAAATGGCCCCACCCACCCCTGAGGATTAATAGACAGTAAATGGTTGGAGGGCATCTTCAGTTGTGTACTCACTGGCAAATTGTTTCTGTAAACAAATCCCCACCCATGTTCCTGTAAGCAACCTCAGTTAAACTCATTGGGTCACCAAAAACAAAAAACCAGAAAGTAGGAGGACTAGGTGGGAAGAGGAAGGGATCAGCAGGGGTGGGTGGGGCAAGAGTGTGATGAAGGATATGGTCAAAATACATTATATACATGAAGGGAAATGTCATAACAGAATCACAATTGTGTTTAAATATATGCTGATCATAAAGCTTTTAAAGAAAAATAACAGCCCTAGCCCCAAAGGTGGGAGCAAGAGCACTAAGGCCTCACTCACATCCAGATGGGTATTGGCTGGTCCTGAACCGGATGAATCAGGGTGGCTGAGAACTAGACCAGCTTCCACATGTAATGTGGGATGCTCCTGACACCTGATGGCCTTGCTCTCCAGGACCATCCAGAACTCAGCCACAGAACCAGAAGAGAGGATTCTCCTGCCTTCACTACCTCTCCCCGCTATTGTAGTTAGGGCCATACAACCCAGAATCTAACAAAGATTCCTTCTTGAATGAGAAAATGAAGAGAGTGTGGCTTCTGCCATTCAGGAGAGAACCTTATACTGAGTGGTTATTTCTTCTGGTCAGCTGGGATAGTATCTCAGGGTCAGCAATAAGCTGGAGGAAAGGGAGAACAGTAAAGACACACAGACACACACACACAAAAAAAAATTCACATGCAAACACAAATTCACACAAACCCACATGCAAATGCACAGACACACACAAACAAAAAATTGCTAACCTGTTACAGCAGTCTAGGACCCCGTCCCAAGACACAGAGAAGTCATCTCAATAGGATACATCTGATCCCTATCCAGGTAGTAAGCAAAGCCCCAAGATGACCTCCAAGAATTCAGGATTCAGACTCCCTGAGACTTTATTTTCTCTGGTGGTGCACCTCACACTTCTTTCTCTCTAAGCTGGACACAGAAGGCCAAAGATCATTAGTGACTCAGGAAGGAGATAATGAGTGTAGGTAAATGAGAGGGTGTGGATAGGATAGAAGAACAAAGAAGTTGAAATTAGTGATTGGATGTGTAAAAAAATGAAATGAGGATGGATAGATCAGTAGATGGATGAAAAGGTGGAAAATAAAAGGAGTGAAGGGAGTAAAAATGTGGATATGTGGATGGGTTAACAGTGGATTAAATGTGTGGATGGGTTATGACATGGATTAAAATTGAAGGATTGAGGTGGATAGATGAGTAGAAGGATGAATGATAAGTAAAGAGATTGGCAGGTGGGTGAGAAGATGCAAGGATGGATAGAACGATGGATGAGAAGATGTATAAAAACAATGAATGGATCAATGTGTAGATGGATGAATTGATTGAAGATGAATAAATGGATGACCAAAAGGGTAAGAAGATGGATGAGTATTATAGTTATTGATTTAAAGGATTGCTTCTTCACTATACCTTTACAAGAACAAGATAAAGAGAAATTTGCCTTCACAGTACCTAATTACAATAATTCTCAACCGGTGAAGAGATATCAATGAAAGGTCTTGGCACAGGGTGGGGCTGATGGGAGATGTCATTCTGTAAATATGTTTCTCATACTGGTTAATGAATAAAGCACTGTTGGCCAATAGGAAAGCAAGATAGGCGGGACTAGGAGACAAGGAGGAAAGAGGAAGTAGGAAGAAAGAATCAAGATGGAGAGTCTGGAGAGAACAGGAAGCCAGCCGGCTCTCTGGTAAGATGAGACCACTTGGAAATACATAGATTAGCAGAAATGGGTTAATACTTAAGACAGAGCTAGCCGATAAGAAACAAGTAACAGGCCAACAGAATTATATCTAATACAGGGTCTCTGGGTATTAATTGGGGCTGATGCAGTGGCAGGACAAGACCAGCGGAGGGAGGAAAAAACCTTACTCCTTACAGATGAGTTGATGAAAGGTTGGATGAAAGGGTAAAGGATGAATGGATGAGCAAATAGAAGATGATAGATAGACAAACAGACAGAAATATAGAAGGATAGATAGATATATGGATATATAAATAGAAAAATGGTGGTGGTGCACACCCTTAATCCAGCACTAGGGAGGCAGAGGCAGGCAGAGCTCTGTGAGTTTGAAACCAGCCTGGTCTACAAGAGCTAGTTTCAGGACAGCCTCAGTGTAAGGTGTATAGGTTTTTCTGCCTGCCGCCGCTGGTCTTGCCCTGCCACCACGCCTGCCCCAAATAACACACTGAGACTCTGTATTAGATATAATTCTGTTGGCCCGGTTACTTGTTTCTTATCGGCTAGCTCTGCCTTAATTATTAACCCATTTCTGCTGATCTATGTATTTCTCTTACCGGGGAGCCGGCTGGCATACTGCTTTCTCCCGACTCTCCATCTTGGCTCCTTTACTACTTTCTCTTTCCTCCTTGTCTCCCAGTCCCGCCTATCTTCCTTTCCTATTGGCCAACCAGCATGAGAAACATTTACAGAATGACATCTCCCATCACCTCAGAGAAACCCTGTCTCACAAAACCAAAAAATAAGAGGGGGGGGGAGAGAAAGAAAAGAAGAAAAGAAGGGGAGGAAAGCACGTGCGACTAGGAAGATTGAGTCAGGGTAGGAATAGAAGACAGAAGAGAGAGAGTGAGAGAGAGAGAACATAAAAGAGGGAGCCCTTTATAGGAATAAAGAGAAAACTGAACCTAAAGAAATGTCCAGAGACCTACAAGACTGACTCCAACTATCAATTTGAGCAACAGTGGAAAGGCTACCATAAATGCCCTTCCCTGATAGTGAGATCAACAACTAACTTATCCACCATCATGAAGCCCTCATCTAATACCTGTTGAAAACAGAAGCAAACACCCATAACTAAAAACTTAGTCGAACTAGAATCCAGATGCAGAGGGAGAGGACAAGACCAGGTTGCAGAAACACATAGAGACAACCGACCTCAACAAGGAGGAGCTAATGCCGCCCCCCAAAATGATAAGTGGGAATCCAGCATGGGACTGACTCAGGCCCCCCTGAATATGGGTCTCAGCCAGAAGGACTGAGCAGTCTAAGGGACCTCAGACAGTGGAACCAGGATGTATTCCTGGTGCACAAAAGGACCTTGTGGACACATCCCCCATGGAGGGATACTCCCTTAACCTAGAGACAGGAGAGAAGTCCTAGTCCCTACTTCAAATCACTTGACAGATCTACATGACCCCACCTGGATGGCATTGCCCTACATGTGGAATTGGGGTGGGGGTGGGAGGGGAGGGTGGTCAGGGTGCATGTGAGGGGGCAGAGAGGGTAAGAGGGAAGGAGGGGGGAACTTGGATCGACATGTAAAATAAAAAATAAATTTTAAAAAAAGAAAAGGAGAAAAATTGATCAGTGATAGATAGGAGGATGAATGGATAGATAGATAGACAGACCCTTAGAGATTCTGTTGCTGTTATAAAACAACATAGCCATAAACACTTTTTTCTTTAAAAATCTTTATTATCAGCATATATTTAAACATATGAATGAACAAAAGATGGATTGCAGAGGTATGTACATAGATAGATAGATAGATAGATAGATAGATAGATAGATAGATAGACTTAGTAATTCTTTTGCTGTGATAAAAACATCATAGCCATACACAAGTTGAGGAAAAAAGGGTTGGTTTCAGCTTACATCTCTCAGGTCATGCTCTATTGCTAAGGGAAGTCAGGGAAGGAATTCAAATAAGGCAGGAACCTGGAAGTAGGAGCTGATGCAGAGAGCATGGAGGATGCTGCTATCTGGCTTTCTTGCTCCTCGTGCCTGCTTTCTTATTACATGTAGGACCACCTATCCAGGGTAACATAGCTCACAGTGAGCTGGGCTCTCCCACCACAGTCATTAAGAAAACACAGCACAGTCCTGCCCACAGGCCAGTCTGGTGGTGCCATTTTCTCAGCTGAGCTTCCCTCTTCTAAAATGACTCTGGCTTATTTCAAACTAGCCAGCACAGACAGACAGAAGATCAGGCAGGTGGGCAGATGAAAGAGAAGATAAATAGATTGTTAAGATGGATGAAAAGATGAAGATTGTGAAGGGTGAGAGGTTTGATGGATGGATCGGTGCATGGGTGGGTGGGCGGATGAATGGATGGATGATGGATGGATGGACTGATGAATGGATAAAATATGAATAAATAGATGAATAAATGAGTAAGAAGAAGAAAGCAGATAGGTAGAAGAGTGGATAGAAAGACATTGGTGGGGGATAGAAAATAGATACAAATAAAAAATGAGTACACAGATGGAGAAATGGGTAGGGAGATGAGTTGACTGATTTAAACATGAAGAATAAACAGATGGCTCGGTGGATGGCAACAATCATTGGATGGACTGATGGGTGAGTGAAGAGATGAAACAACCCAGAGTCAAGATTTTAGAGCAAAGTAAAAATTATAACATAATTCAACTTGGGATTTCATCCCCTCTTCACCTAGAGCCTTGGTCTTGGCTCCAGGAGGTAAACCCTCCCAGCAAGGGCAACTTCCTGCAGGCCCTGGCCTGTCCTAGTAACTACTCAAAGTCAAGCCATTCATTCTTTATAGAAACCCATGCGCAATTTTAGCTACCCCCTTGTCCGCCTGGGCCTGGCCAGAGGCAGCTCTCAGAGGCTTCCCTGACCAACCTCCCAATCTCAGCATAAGCTGCTTGAGGTTTGGGATTTGATGCGCAGTTTGTGAGGCAGGGAAATCTGAGCCAGCCCCTCAGACCTGTCACCTGGGACAGGGCAGGTCATACCAGGCAAAAACCCCATGGAACTCTCAAAGGATGTCAGTGAGATATCTGAGGGCCCTGGGGCATGGGATCCAGTGGGCAAAGGTGGCCACAGCCCACAACAAGACTTGAGCTCTGTTCTGGGTCCCGCATACCCATCTAAGAAGTGACAACCAAAGATAGCAGCTGGGAAGGTGGAATGAAAGGTCCTGTCAACTATCCTGGGGGTCTCCTGGAAGAACCTGGGGGAAGCAGCTAAGCCAGCCCACCCTTGAGCCACCAGGCAGCCTGAGCAACCCGTAATCCCAGAATCCACGGCATATGGTTTGAAGAGGCAGCCATGGGCACCAGGCAAAGATAAGAATTTGTCAGCCCCTGAATGAGAGTCTCCAGCCCAGGAAGACTTCCATAGCAAGGCCTGCAAGGGCAATGTCCGGGGACCACACACAGAAGGCAAAAGGCCAAATCGAAGTTTGAGTGCTTGCAGTTCAGCTCTTAGTATAGCATTCTCTTCCAGCAGCATGGTCAGCCTGCCTTCAATGGCCACATCATTGAGACGTCGCTTTTCCCGGGACCGCTTGGCCGCCTCGTTGTTCTTTCTCCGTTTCTCCCAGTAAATTGTGTCCTTCTTCTCTTCCGGCATAAACTCCCTCTGTCGGCGCATGGTTGGACCCCTGCGAGTGCCCCAGAGTACTTTGCTGGGACCCTGAGAAATGTTGGGCAGGCCCAAGGTATCCACATTCATAGCTGCCTCAGCACCTGGAAAAGATAAAAAGAGGTCTTGGATCAGAGACCGGAGGCTGACCCAAATGGCTCTCATCCCTCTAATCATCTCTGTGTCTACCATCTCCACTGAAGCACCAGATGGAGCAGAGACTGGGCTGGGGACAGATCTGTAGAGGGATGTAACCATGAGAAAGGAGGCAGGGAGGTGGTGCCAAATGAGGCTGAGTCTGGATATGGCTTAAGAACACCCCAGTCGTCACAGAGATCTGTTTGAGATCTGTCCCTTCAGAGGACACAAGTTCTTTCCAAAGCGTTTTCCTTACCCCTGAGAAGATCAGCCTACACAAGAACTGTGTAATAATCCCAGATCCGGAGGAAGATGGGAGAAAGGACGTACCTAGAAAGAAAGAATGTGTGAACACGGAGTTCCACTGGCCAAGCTGTGGCTCAGAAAATCAGCTGGCGGAGGCTGGGGAACTGGCTCTGTGATTAAAGAGTTTCTGCCCGAGCCTGAGGACCTGAGTTTGAATCCCCAGACCCACATACACAAAGCACTGCAGCAGGTGTGCACAACCCCAGTACCCCTACAGTGATACGGGAGGAAGTGGATACAGAAAATCCCTGGACCTCCCATGCCAGCTAGACTGGCATATACGGGTCAAGACAGCAAAAAGACCCTGTCTCAAGCAAGATAAAAGGTGAGTACCAACATGCAAGCCTTACTGCTTACATGATGACACACTCTCTCTCTTTCTCTCTCTCTCTCTCTCTCTCTCACACACACACATACAAGCACACACATACACACACACAATCATGTACACAAAATATAAGTCATAATAAAACATTAAAAATAGTAATAAAAACAAAATAATAACAAATGAAAAGTAGCTGATACATGAATTATGAACAGATTGTAACTTACAGTCCATGACCAAAATTTCACATCTGCCTGTCCACCCAGCCAACCACCTATCTGTACATCAGGTCCTCCCACACAACTGTCTGTCATCCACCCACTCATTACCCATTAGCTCACTTGTCACTCATCCTCTCTCCAACTCCCATCCACCTCACCATCCAATTTTATAGCCATCCATTGTGCCTGCCATGTTTTACTTATTCACACATCCTACACATCTGCTGTAGTCTTGAGGGACCCTTAAAATGTGCTCGAGTGCACACATATGGGGCATGGGGTGCTGTTTCTCAGTTGTCCATCTTGGTTTGTTGAAATTTTTACTCTTTAAAAAAATATTTTTGTTTAATTGTGTGTGTGTGTGTGTGTGTGTGTGTGTGTACACATGTGTATGTGGATGAGTGCAAATGCCAGATGAGTCCATAGGCATCAGATCTCCCCTGGGCCAGGAATGACAGACAGCTGTGAATCTCTGGATGTGGGTGCTGAGAACCAAAGTAGGGTCCTCTGTGAAAGCAATACATGATCTTAACTGATGAGTTGTTACTTTAAATATTTATTTCTGTCATTTATTTACATGTGTGCATCTATGTGGGTCTAGTGGATGCATATACCTACCTGTGCATGCATGTGGAGACTAAAGGGTATCACATGTCCACTCACATCATACACCAATTATTCCTCTGAAACCAGATCTGTCCCTGAACTTGGGGCGGGTGTCTCTGATAGAGTTGAAAGCCAACAAGCCCTAGGACCTATTGGAAGGTAAGAGGTGAACCAACTCCTATTGATTGTCCTCTGATTTCCAAGTGTGCAATGTGGCATGTGAACATCATGCACAAATTAACAGATGAAATTTTAAAAAAAAAAGGAAGGCAGGAAGGCAAGAAAGGAATAAAGGAGACTGAGAGATACAGATCATCATCTTGGTGTGCACCTATACTCCCAGTTTCTTGGGAAACTGAGATGGGATGATGCCTTCAGCACTAGAATTTGAATCCAGCTTGGGCCTCAAAGCCAAAATATCTCAAAAATATACTGCTCCAGTGTCATGCAAGATGACTGTAACTCCCACACTTGGGAAGAAGGCCAAGATTTGTGGATGATGAATATGAGGACAGCCTGAGTAGCATAGTGAGACCTTGCCTCAAATAATACTAGTAGAAAAGAGGGAGGAGAGGTGAAAGAAAAAAAAGAGAGAGGGAGAAGAATGTGAAAGAGAAAGGGGAGGAGAAAATGTAACAGGGAGGGAGAGAAAAGGGAGAAGAGAAGGAAGGAAGGAAGGAAGGAAGGAAGGAAGAAGGAGGAAGAAGACCAGGAGGGAAGGGGAAGGAAAGAAGGGGGAAGAAGGAAGGGAGGAAAGGGAAGGGAGATGCAGGGAAAGGGAAGGAGGAGGGGGAGAGGAGGAAGAGAAGAAGGAAAGTAATATGAAAAGAGGGCAGAAGGGAGTGGAGGGAAGGAAAGGGGAAGTTCCAAAGTATAAAAGGCAGCCAGAACCAGCACATGTCCCTGCAAGAAGCTGAGCATGAGAAAGTGGTCAGGGAGGAGGCAAGGCAGGCCAAGCTGATCTGAGCAGGGACTCTCTGCAAGCCCATGAGGCAGGCTAGGGCTCCCTCTCACTGCTATGCTCCCTGTGTGAGTCCCTCCTGGCTAGAGCTTAATCTGAGCCCAGCCCACTGGTCCCGCCACTTCCACAGGAACCCAGATGCAGGCAGCAAATAGCTAGGCTCCTGGGTTTATTTAGAGAATATGCAGTGTGGGTTGAACCTTCCTGTGGTCATAGCAGAGCAATTAACAACTAGGGGGGTGAGGTCACTCCTAGTGAAGGGCCTTCAGCAGTTCAAGGAACAGAAAAAGGGTCTATCAGAGGTAGCATACAACTCCACTCTGGTCTCTGCAGCCTCTCTAGGTAGAAAGCAAAGCTCTGCTTGTTTTTCTGGAACAGGAATCTTCTTCCCTCCAGAAGCAGACTCTGTCAAGCCAAGCACATTCTCCTTCACTGGCAGGCTTGCATCTCAGTGATAGAATGCTTACCCAGCATGCAACATGAATGAAAAGCCTACAACTACAATCCCAAGTCCCAGGAAGCAGAGTGTGAGGACAGTCTCATCTACACAGCAAGTGCAAGGACATCCTGTCATAAAGAAAGAGAAGAGAGTAGATTTATGCTCACCAGGGCATAGGAAGAGGGAGGATGGAGAAATGAGGGTTAATGGGTTAAGGAATGCAATATGACTTTTCAATGAACTTTACAACGAAGGCATTAAATGACTCAAAAAAGACAAAGGAAATGATAAGAGCCCTTCAACAAGAACAGAAGATTATGAAACAAAAATAAGTAGATATAAAAAGAACCAGCAAGAGCTCTGATATTAAATGGATAGATACAGATGACTGATAGATAAAAGCAGGCTGGCTGGCAAGATGACTTAGAAAGTGAAGGTTCTTGCCACTAAGTCTGATGACCTGAGTTCAGTTCCCAAGACTCACATGGTGGAAGAAGAGAACTGACTCCCACGAGTAACACACACACACACACACACACACACACACACACACACACTGTGGTACACATGTATGAGTGCATACATTCAAGTACATTCACTCACATTAAGTAAACATGATTTTTTTAATATTTTAAATAGACTTGAATAATGTTCTACCATAATGTTCTGCACAAAAGTACGGTAATGGTGAGGACAACTGAATTGGTAGTAAGTATGAGTAATTGAATGTTCTTGGTGATGCTTGGTTAACAGGCAATTGGGTATTTCAGAATATCTAGTAGAAAGAATGTTAAATGTTCAGAACACACACACCCAAAAGGATGAATGTAGGGTCAGCTATGACTTTATGGGTAGGAGTGAAAACCTGAGTTCAGATCCCAGAAAAGCTAGTGGTAGCAACATATACACTTGGAACCGAAGCGCAGGATGAAGACAAGAGGGTGGCTGGGGCCTGCAGGCTATTAGCCTTGCTCTTGGTTCAGTAAGGGACTGTGTCTCAAAGGAGTCATCTCTCCAGCCCCTCAATTTAAATTTGTTAGTTTTAAAGAAAAGTACGTGCTTTAACCAGATTCATATTCTCTTAGCTGAGGGTTCTACAGAAAGTTGGGTCACCTCGCGTGTTTCCAATGCCTTACATGCAAAATGGGGTCAATAGCAGTTCCAAACTCTCTGGTTACATGCAGTAAGAAAAGAGGAATGTGTGTTAAGAAGTCAGGGTACACACTCACCTTAGGGGAGAAGATAATACTGTTGCTTTGATAAAATATCATGTTGGGAAACTGTCTTCTAAATATTTGTGTTTATGCACATAGATTAGTGAGTGTTGCTCTCAGCCTTGGCAATGAAGATTCTTCTACAGTTAATTCAGTCTCATAACTAATAAAAGAGATGAGACTATGTGACCATTGAGTGTCCAGCCCTAAATGGGAAATCTGTATCACATATACACACCACCACCACTTGAACACACATGATCCAGCCAATCAGCATACCAGGACAAAGAGGGGGAGGTTCCTGAGGCCTGTCTCTTCCTGAAGAGCTACAGCAGCTATTGATGGCCAGGAGCGGGTAAGTTGTTTCTTTACTGGTGTAGCCACTGGTGAGTTGCCATGATCCAGTGCAATCTAATGTCCATGTTTATGCAAACAACCCTAATAAAACTCACTTAGTCATCAAAAAAAGAAAAAGAAAAAGAAAAGGAAAGGAAAAAGACAGGAAGATGGCTCAATGGATAAAAACATTGGCTAAAAATGTCTAATGACTTCAGTTCAGTCCAACTCCATAAAGTTGGCCTCCATTTGTGCACCATGGTACAAATGTACACACATACACAAAATAACAGCAATAAATCGATTTTGCAAGATATGAAATTAAAAGGACTTGAGAATAGGAAGGGGTTCTGCAGGACTTGAAGGAATAAGGAGATGGTAATGGAAGTATGAAATGGCCAATTGTATTACACACAGACATGGAACTATCAACGGACAACATGTAAAGCAACCACAAAAAAAAAAAAAGTGAAGTAATAGTAAGTGACTCACAGACCTGTTTTTGACAAGTATTATTGTGTAAAATAATGCATTTTTAAATTTC